GGAGGAGCTGCTGGCGCCCAAGAGGCTCTCGGCGATGAGGGCGTCCGTCGCAGTGGGTTGGATCAGCAACACGCCCAGGTGGTCGCCCCCCCCGCCCGCAGCCTTGGCCTCGTCAGTTCGGGCTTCCTTCCCGAAGCAGGCCTCGAACGCAGCATTGAAATCAACATCGCTAAGACGAGGTTTCCGCCCTGTCGACTTCTTCGCAGCAATTTCATTCTTTTTCCCCTCCACCGTCTCAACTCTCTTGGCGTCAGCCCCCAGCACCTCGCTCGCGGGGTCGACCTCTGGCATCACGGGAGCTTGGTCTATCAAATCAGACAGCCAACCCTCCAGCGGAACATCAATCACCTCGGCCTCGGCCTCATGAGGCCGCCCGTCCAGGACAGCGCCGTCAGGAGGGCCAGCAACTGCTCCGGCAGGCCCACCAGCAGCGTCGTCACCTCCCTTCCCGCCGCCCGCCCAATGGAGGTGGATCAAAGAAGAGAGGGGGGCAGGGGGAGAAGGATGGGGCAAGGAGGGGAGAGCAGGGAACAGAGGAGAGAAGGGCGGAGAGATGGCAGGGAAGTTGAAATGAGGTTACAGGAGATGAAGAAAGCGAGGGGCAGACAGGAATGAAGTAGCAAAGAGGGTAGAGGGCTAGTAGCTATGGCCACGATCGAGCTCAACGACGGCTCGGCGACTGAAAAGGGGTCTCTCCTTGCGCAGATGAGGAGATGAAGGGCGAGGGCGGTTAGACGGTTAGAGTAGGATTGAATCATGCACTCCGCCCCTGTCCCACCGATTGGTTCACGTTCTCGATCACGCTGTGCAGGACCAGGAGGGGCCCACTTCGGGTCCAAAGTGAAAACCTCGTTCCCAATGATATTCGGAAATTTACTGCCAGGCAATACGCCACCGACAATGCCGACACTTCGTGGTTCTGCGAGTTGAGCGTGCATGCGAGCGAACAGGTTCTCAGACGACTGTGAGAATAAATCATCTTCAAACGCCCTCAAAGGCCCCATGGTTCCCCAAGAAGTTGTTCCGATACTCTGAAGCAGTACAGTGCTCTGTCCAAAAACCTTGGCGGCGCGGTAATATGATAACCCAGACATGTCACTCGAGGGGGCGATCACGAGCAAAGGTGCAGTGTGGCCATGCTTCTCACGCAACCCCCTGATTTCTCTGGCCAGCATGCTGCTGTAGTGCTTACTCCACTGCAGCGCCTGCTTGCTGTACTTCTCCCCGCAGACGAGGGCCCCTTGAGAGATCAAGAGACTCCCCCCTACTGCGGGCCCTCCGCTAGTGCGAGTGTCCCCCTGGTCCAAGATCCCCCTTGTCGCCCCGATCCGCCTCCTTCTTCTCCTCCTCCTCCGTTTCCTCCCCCTTCCCCCCTCCATTTTTTCTGAGCCGCTTCCAGCCGTGGCGTCAAGAGGGAGCGATGGTGAGGGAGGAAGGCGGTCTTCGTCTTTCTGCCTTCGTACGCCGGGGCGTCCAGGACGGGGGGCGGGGCAATGAAACGGTTTCGAGCCCCAGGGACATCGTCTATCGTGCCGGCGCTAGAAGCCGCAGAAGCCAGGACCTGGTGAAACTTATCTGAAACGTCGGACCACTTGAGACTAGCGCCACGGCTCCCGAGACACATCGTCTTGATGTTGCCCACTCTGGCGTCCAGCAAGGGCACCCGAATGTTGGGAGCTCTCTGGACCGCGTCCTGGCGGAGAGCGGCAGGGGGGAGAGGGCGAGACGGCGACGGCGACGACGGGGCACGACAAAGAGCGATTTCGAAGACGCTGTGACGACCACGGCGGCGACGAAGGAACGACAATCACAAACAAGGGGCCCGCTACGACGGCCTCCCCGTCCCTGCGTTTCGGTTTTGAATCCGTCGTGTCCTTGATGACGCTATTGATGGACTCGATGTCCTGTGAATCCGCCATCCAGGAAGACGCAAGTGTTCGCATGAGAAGCCACAGAGTAGTGGGGAGCTTGCCGAGGCTCTGGGTGCAATAAACCAGCTCATCGAAAAACAAGTGTTTCAACTTCAGAACAACGACTGGTAATTCTGAGTCCACGGTGTCCAGAATGGTTTTGCACGTTAGAGCTCGGATGGGGTCCTCGTGGTGCGGGCCCTCCCTTGCAAGCAATAACATTTGACATTCCAAAGATTTGATCGGAATCATGATTCGCATTTCGTAATCAGCTAAATGTTCGGAAGTAAGACGGGATATCAAACATCGGTAATCAGCTTGGTGCTTGAGGGGCATCAGATCCAACACGTCCTCCCAGTGCACAGTGTTAGTCATCTCGCGCAAGTCGTCACAGATCTCTTCCGCCTTCCCCCAAACGAGTCGTGCAAGGGTACTCGGTTCCAGTTTCTCAGGTGACGTTTTCTTCTGCATGAATAAATGCAGGTGGTCCAAGGGCCCGCGGCACCGATTGCCGATCATCATGATGAGATGAAAGTGTGGCGAATTAATCCCCTTTGCAACTTCCCCACTCCATCTTGAAAGCTGCTCGTAGAACGCTTCGTTCAATTCAGCAGACAGTTCAGCAGTCGGCGACGTTTTCTTCTTCTTCTTCGCTTTGGTACAAGTTAAGAACACCGTTTCAAACACCGCCATGAGCTGCGAATGATCACCGTTCAAAACGTAACGTTCACATGCACTGAACGTGCCCCAGCGGGTAGTCACACATTTCGGTGGTACCTTCGCAGCAAATGCCGACGCTTGCGCGCCAAATTTGGAAGTCCACAGCCTGTAAATTTCAACTGCCCGATCTCTCCAAAGATGCATCAATTTCGTCAACGTGGGTGCGTATTTGATGCCGTCGGTCATGCTCTCCATGAAATCGTTCAGAATGTTTAAATCGCTTTGAACCATCAGGGAATATTGATGTTGCAAACAATGGTTCCCAAATACCCAGACTTTCAGGTTGCGTGCAAAAATCTGGCAAATCTTGCGCCTGCTGGAGGCCTCGTCAGACCCAGCGTCTGCGGTGGCAATCAGTATTGTAAGCGTCCTGGGGCCTTCGGGGCGATCCAACCGATTCGGCCAAGGGGGTCGCAAAAGGCTCCTGCGGTGCACCACCGCGCGAACAGGTTCAGCAGGTCGGTCGTCCCCCAGCTCGGTCGTGCAATCCCCATCGGCAATGGCGTGCAAACACAACTCGTGGTCGCCTGTCCTTTCCGACAGGCACGGCACCTCCACACTCCGAGTTTGCTTTATCACCATTGCGAGAGTCCCTTCTGCGCTTCCCCCACCAACGATCTGCATGTCAGCAAGAATACAAGAGTGGGCAACACAATCTTGAGCATCTGACGGGTCGTCCCAAGGGTGCACTGGGTCGCACAAGAAGGAGGCTTGGACTTCTTGCGTTGGGATTTTTTGTTTTTGCCACACTTTACTGTTCGTGGCGTCTCCCCTGATCACATAAACCGACCAACGCCAAACATCGAATTCAGCGAGACGACAATCCACGCCAGGTGGAACTTCAGTCGGGTCCACGGGATAATCAGGCTCAATTGCGAAACGACAACGGTGGTGACAATGGAAAGCTCGGGCATGCGCGAGAAGTGCCGCCCTCAGACGCACTTCCGCAGAAGTGATGGCCCTACGGCCCACGTCCTCGCATATCGCCAGGCCCATCTTGCTGGACGCGACCCCTGAGATCGTACGACGGAGCGCGATGGATAAACCACCATTCAGAGTGAGATACCTCCCACCACAATTTCTGAACAAGCCGCTCATTTTTGCTTGCATCTTTTCTGTTTCAAGTGACTGTACTTTTGCTTTCAATTCCCGAATGCGGCGCCCACGAACGTAAATCTTACTTTGCAAGCGGGATGACCGTGATTTCGAACTCTCAAAACCTGCCTCAACGACTTTGTTCCTCCTGCGCATCTGCAACGCTAGGGATTCAAGCTCAGCCCTTGAAATATTCTGAACATGCTCAATTGTGACGTGATCGAACAGATTCTGGCGAACAGGATTCCGTTTCGACAGGTGTTGCGCCACCGCCAAAGTTAAAACAGAAGGGGCACGTTGCTCGTCGGACTGGTCGTCGTCGCCCACGGGCTGCATGGAAACGTCGACGCCACCAACATCAGTATCGGGCGGGGCCATTCCGGCGTCGTTCGACGCGGGAGGTTGGCTCTCAAGTGGGGCGCCCAAGCGGACCGATGACAGTACCACATCCCAAGATACGCGCCCGCTGGCGACGCCGCAGAACTCTGCCAAGAACTGCGCAGCAGAGAAATCGTACAAATCAGCGCCGCCCACTTTCAAAGAAGAAACCCTCTCATCTGAAAAACATCGCTCGTAAAATCTATCATTCTGGCCAAGCCCAAGCTCCTTAGTCCACGAAACAAGCGACGATCTAGAAATCACATGGCCCTCTGATGTAATTATCACGCGGCGAGCGAGCGTTCGGTGAACGAGAAATGCAAACCATTCGGCCATGACGGCCAAACGTTGAGCCTAAATGCTTACATTTACAACTAGATCGGGCTCGACATGGGAATCTGAAATGCGGGATCCAGGGTCTCGCGACCGATCGGCGACCAATCGCAGGCATTCTGCCCTGCTTCGACGCAAGAAGGAATTCGCCAGGGTCTTGCCTCAAGAAGAGCTGTCTTCCAATTCTTTGGTCAGCGCCCCCCCCCTTGCACTCCTTCGTCAGCCGAAAGATCATAGAATTCATCGGATGCACTTTCTCTGCGCCGCCCGAAACGCGCGCTGCAATCATTTTCGGTGTCCGAATTCAGGCGTGCCAAGATCTGCCTGACTTTTCTGCGAACGAAAGTGTGACGGTGCTCAAGATTCTGCGAATCAAAAAGCCGTGCAACGAACTATTCTGAACCCCCAAACGATATGCAACAAACGATTCTGGAGTTCAAACCGATATGCAACAACAAATTCTAGATTTCAAATCGACATGCAACATGCGATTCTGGATTTCAAACCAGCATACAACAACCGATTCTGGCTTCAAAACTTATATACAACAAAAAATTATGAACCTCAAACCAGATTAAACTGAACCTGAAACTTGCTTGAAACAACGTGTTCTGACGTTCGGTTTTCAGCGCGCTGGTGCCCAAGCGAGATTTCATTGAAGCCTTTTGGCCTCACCCCCCAGAGGGTCGAGGAACATACCAACCAGGAAGGGAAAGCGAAGGACTCCCAAGTGACCTTCACGCCGTCCCGTAGCTTTAGGAGCTGGTGCGACACTGCCCGGCAGATGTGGATAGACGTGGCAGGATGCACATAGCAATTCACGAATGCGACCCGCCGGCACGAGCGCGCCAGTGATACGAACTCACGGCAGACGCTTTGCTCGTCCTCTCCAGAACTGAGCGGCTTGATGTCAACCCTGCTCAACAAGAGAGTGTCAACCTCGCCGCTGAGTAGATTCCCATAAATGGTAACGACGCGGACCAAATCCTTGAAAGACAGATCTCCACTTGGCAGCTCTAGACGATGGCGCTGATCTAGGTGATCCGTGGTCAAGATGGAACGCTCCAACTCCAACGCTTGGCCGCTAACATGCTTGAGACTTGTCCGCCCAAATATAGGAGCCAAGCTGTTAAATGTGGCGTTGTAGCGGCTGGCGTCCTGACCAGATCTCCACTGCATGTTCTTGATCCTAAGCTCTACAAGGTCTAGTGGGCTGTTCCCCTTCTTGTCGCACAAGTGCCTGATCTTGGAGACACATTGCTGGCTGCGGCACCAGCGCACCAACTCATTCATCACCTCGCTCTGGCCTGCCCATGCAGCGGAGTGGAACGCTGAATTTTTCCACGAAGGTTCCAAATAGAATGGATCAGCCAATTGAAACCAAGGCTTCTCTCTTGGAGCCGTTTGCGGCGAATGCTGGTTCAACAAATATGCCACGCACCTGCTGAACCCACTTTCGCAACAATGATGAAGAAGCGTGCCCGCAGGCCAAAGATTTACTTTCGTCATGTTGTGGTAGAACCTGGGGTTTTGGGTGTCACCTGTCTCGAAGTATAGCCGAAGAACTGTCACAACAGACTCAGTGGACATAGCTGCTTCAATGATCGCTGGATCGTCTTCATCCAGGAGCTGAAAGGCATCCCGGATGTAATCGTAGACCAGGCTGATGTTGCTCTTGAAATAATTGGTGACCACACGGACCTTTCCAGCTCGCGTGCGTGCAAGTTCATGCACCACGACGTGCCACACGAAATCTCGACCAACACTTCCATGAATAGGCGCAAACTGGTTAAACATGCTGGCAATATCTGTCAGAGGCACTCGCCGGAATACCATCCAACGGTACGGCTTGAAAGCGTTGGTGCTGCTCTGGTCGTGCGTCAGGAGCCTGCATCCTGAGCGCACGGTGTCGTTACACATTTTCGCTGAAATGTCCCTCGCCGCCGCGTGCCCGAACATGTGCTCCACTTCGTTCTGCAAATAAGTAGTCCCGCTGAGCACAGATCCAATGTCAGAAGCGCCAGAGCAAACTGGAACGGATAAGCTCCGCATCAGCCCCGATGCCCCTGCTGCACCCGCCATGAAGGAAGGAGTCAGTGTGGCATCAGCAGAGAAGTCGCAACTCCGCTTATACCACGGACTCCAGATGGCTGCCTCGAGCGACACATCCCTGTCACTACCGTCACTGTCATCATCTTCGTCGGAGCTGTCTGCAGCAATGAGAAGGCCTGTACCATCCTCAACAACGTCCATCTTTTTATCAAGGCACGCTTCCACTTCTCTCACAATCTTCGGATCCACAGTCTGCCCGTTCTCCCCCATGAGGCCGAAGATGCACTGCGCCATGCGAAGGTCGGCGCGCTTGCTGCTCTGGACCAGGGTCAGCGCTTTGCCGCTCGCTCCTGCCCCCCCCGTGCGCCCGACACGGTGTACGTGGGTGTCTGTGTCCTTCGATGCGTCAAAGCATACCACCCCCTGGACGTCGCGCACGTCCAGCCCACGAGACGCGACATCCGTCGCCACTGCCAGGCAGCTGTCCCCGCTCCGGAACTCCTTCAGAGCTCGCTCTCGCTCTGACTGCTCGAGGTCGCCGTGGAGAGACACGGGCGCAAGGCCCGCGTGCCGCAGGTCCTTGCAGACCTCGCTGATGGCAGCCTTGGTTATGTGGCAACTCATGGGGGCCTCCCATGCCATGTTGCTGGCTCTTGCGAGTCGACGCTGACCGACGCCAACCGACGCTGACCGATGCTAAGTGGCGCTAATCGAAGCTCGTCGACGCTAAATCGGCGCCAGTCGCACTAAATCGGCGGCTTCCCATCAATTGCCAGAATCTGGCGCACGCCAGCGAACTCTAAAGACGGAGTGGCGAGGACACGCAAGGCTCCCATGATTTGCTGCCGAACCTTGGTGTTTACGAAGACGAGCACCCGGCTGCCAGCCGGCAGCGTCCCGAGGAAGCCCAGGAGAGCCGCGATCTTCTCTGCCTGTGACCAGCACACGCGGACGTCCTGCGAGACCCTCGGGTTGCACTTCGCCCCCTCGTGCCCCCTCTGATGCACCCTTATGGCATTTTTGGTGAAGCAGCCTATAATGTTGAGCACGTTCTTCGGTAGAGTCGCGGTGAAGAGCACCGTTTGCCGGCTCTCGGGCAGTAAGCCTACAATGTCACGCACGTCCTCCTCGAAGCCCATATCGAGCATTCGGTCTGCCTCGTCCAAGGCCAAGAAACAAGTATCACTCAAACGACAGATATGTTTCCTCACCGCCATGTCTTTCAACCGCCCAGGGCAGGCAACCACAAGAGCAGGTGTTTGACTCAAGTCTTTGATCTGACGCTTGAAATCAACACCACCGTACAAGCAACAGCTGCGGATTGCTAACACCTGGCCAATTTTCTGTGCCTCGGATTCAATTTGCGATGCCAGCTCACGGGTTGGTGCAAGCACAAGCATCGCTGGATTGGCAGTCTTGTTGCCAGCCGCAGGTGGCGTTACCTTCGGGGACTTCAAATGCTGCTCGAACGCAGGCACGAGGAAAGCCAAAGTTTTTCCACTGCCTGTTTCTGCCACGCCCACAACGTCCCTGCCGCTCAAGATCAACGGCCAACAATACGCCTGAATGGGACTGGGGGCCTCGAAGCCCAATGCGGCCAGAGCGCGGGCAAGACTCGGCTGGAAGCTGCAATCAGAGAATGCCGTCCATGGGTCGAGCGTTTGCTCCGAGTCGGGACAAAATACCTGCATGCACGAGGAACTCGCCCTAGCTGAGCCGGAGCTCATTGCGGTATCGATGCGCAGAAGGGAGAAACCGCTTGTGGTGAAATTGCCATGGAGAGCCCGCTGAAGCTCACTATCGCCAAGGGCCACCATGAATAGTTACCAGGCTGGCACTCTGTACTCTGAGCCCTCCAGTGTCTGCACCCCCCATTCCTCAGCTCCGAACTGATCACGACGACGAGAGTAATGCGAGGCGGGGGTTTATTCGTATCCGCCCTGGGGCCCGAAAGGGCGGTGATATTGATATGTTCGGGCTCCAGGGGGCCCGACTACATACCCATATTCACCGCCCGCCAAGGTCCCCGAAGATCGATGCCCCAGGCGGTGCTTATGGAGAAAATCCCACCTCGGAATAAAGACGAGGCCTGGCACCCCTCAGGCGCGCTGCTCGCCCTGACACCCCGCCCGCCGCCGCGGCGGACACGCCCAAGATCGGCCCATGTCACAGCCGGACTGGAGTACGGACCTCATACCTCGCCGACTGGGCCACACAGCCGCTCGCAAGGGGGGCCCTCGGGTCCCGCGGACTCCTCGAACCCGCCCGCGCTGCAGAGACAGGGGCGCAAAAGTGGCCAGCAAAAGGGAGTTCAGAGAACGGCGCCCCTGCACCGCACCATGCTGGAACTGCATCCAGGCCCAGCTGCAACGCGGTGCGTGCATGAGTTGTCTGGCTCGGAAGGTCTGAGAACTATGTACTGTACCACTCCTGGGCCGAGGATTCACGACGCCCAGGGCGACGCCGACACGGTACAGTGCATACAAGCGGTCCGCTCGAGAGCCTGCAGCGAGGAGGTCTGCCCAGTACCACGGCAAGTCCAGGGACAAGAATCACAGAGCAGCAGGGAGACTGATCGGGAACGCATCCTCGAGACAGAATGCGTGTGGGCGTCATCATGTGGCCGACCCTGGAAAACACTGGATCCACAGAGTACAACGTCTCACTACTTCCGCCGTGCTTCCCTCGGCGGACCCGCTTCCGCCAGCTTGCGCTGGCCCGCGGACTTGCCGCCGTTTTCCTTCCGCCAGCTTCCGCCAGCCTTCCGCCTGCTTCCGCCGAAGACAAGACGCACCGAAGGCGAGGCCCGTTCCTGGAGCACGCCCTGCGCCTCTGGATACATTGGCCTGCGGAGATCCATGGGGGGTACCTCCACGCAACGAGGGCTCGCGCGAAGCACTGAAATCCGACGTTGCGAAAAACGGTCGACCCGCACGGTATGGATGGGCACTAACCTTCCCAAGAGTACCCTTGCAGTCTTGCCTCCTCGGTCCATCCTTCGCCACTCTCATGAGCCGCGCCCCGCTCGGAAAGCTTCGACCCAAAAAATGGGCGCCCGAGGGCCCTCGCACCCTTACCGCGCATCCTTAATGTACGGGCTTACCGCGCGTGCAGCGTCGTAACGTTTCGATGAGCCGCGGCGAGCTGGGTCCAGCAGGCGGTCCAGCTGGCGGCGGGCCGCGTCCGAAGCGAGTTGGGCACAGAGGCGGGGGGCGGAGGACGCGGGGAGCAGGCCGCGGGACGGCCAGCGCACACCCTCCGAACGCAGAAAGCACCTCCGGGACGAGAGAGCAGAACACGTCCAGAGCCCTCGACAAAAGCATTCTTGTCCTACGGCACTCCTCGAGCTGCATCGATACGGCCGGGGCACCCTGAGAACGCGGAGAAAGCATCCAGGACAAAAGGCAAAAGCACGCCCAGACCCCTCGACTCGGTTGTCATCCTGCGGCATTCCTCGAGCTGCATCGATCCGCGAGGGCCCCCGGGGGCCCGAACCGGGGCGGAGTCGCCCGGCGTGAACAGATCGCGACGCAGGGGCGTCTCGGGCAGCGAGCCTGCCAAAAGCAGAAGAGCAAGATACGAAAAGCAGCAAACAAAAAACAAAGGACAGCAAAAAACACAACCGACAACAAAAAAAAAGCGGGTCCCCGATCCGCCAAGCGCCGCAGCGGGGTCCACGTCGCCCAGGTCGGGCGCTCGCTCTGGGCTCGCAGCGGCGGAGCTCCGCCCGGTGCCTCGGCCGCGGAGCGGCGCGTGCGATCCCCCCCCCGCCCCACCCCACGGATGCCGTGTCCAGCTCGGGCGGCGCGCGCGGTGGGACGCAGAACGGCGTGCGCAGGAAGGGTCTTTGGAATGGGAGGAGGGGGGGGGCTTCGGCCCAGAAGGGACACCTTCGGCCCAGAAGGAGGGGCCCTCGGCCCGGAAGGGGGGGGCCCTCGGACGGGAAGGGGGGGGGGGGCTTCGGACGGGAAGGGGGGGCCTTCGGACGGGAAGGGGGCGTCTTCCGACGGGGAGGTGGGGCCTTCGGCCAGGAACGGGGGGGTCTTCCGAAGGAAAGGGGGGGATCTTCGGTCGGGAAGGGGGCGTCTTCGGACGGGAAGGGGGGGAGCTTTCGACGGGAACGGGTGGTCGCTGGATGGGAAAGGGGGGTCTTTCCGACGGGGAGGGGGTCTTCGGACGGGAAGGGCGGCGTGAGCGATGGGCGGCACGCACGATGGAACGCAGAACGACATGGCAGAGCGGCATACGCGTGCGCAGAAGAATAAATATATGCGTATATCTATATTTCTATATATATATATATATATGTGTAAAAGCACAACAAATCGGAGCCTCGCGGACCTTTCGGGTCGTCGCTAGGCCCCCCACGGCGGCGCCTTCGGCGCGCTAGTGGCAGGGGTCCAGCGTCGATCCAAAGAACTCCGAGAGATCATGCTCATGCAAGTTCGACTGCTGTAAATTCAAATACGATGCGTAATGCACGATCCGAGCACGTACGTAATCCATGTGTGTGTGTGTGTGTCTGTGGGGTGGGGGGGCGAACGGTCATTCACTGCCCCTGGGCGCGAGGCTGAAGTAGGGTTCCGCGGTGGGGATTGGTGTTGCTGTTGTTGTTGCTGTTGATGTTGTGCTTGAATTCTCCAGTCTCAAAAACCATCATGGGTGATCCCCCCGATGCACCTTTTGTGTGTTCAATTAAAATGCTCCGCCTGGGGCTCGCACCCTTTCTTCCAAAGGGAACGGTCTTGATGCGCAGATGGGGTTACTGGCCCCCGAACTACAACAACAACGGCTCCCGCCATATACTTCCTCACCGTCTCTTTCAAAATCGCGTCCTCGCGCGGGATGTACCCATATTGTATGCAGGGATCGAACAACGGCCCCCGCAAGATACTTCCTCACAGGATCTTTCAAAATCGCGCCCTCGCGCGGGATTTACCCATAATGTATGCAGGAATCGAGCTCTCGCGTGAGACTTCCTCGCAATGTATTCAAACGCCGCGCCCTCGACACTCAGGAATCACGCTCTCGCTCTGGCCTTTCTCAATGTTTACTTGGGAATATCGCTATCGCTTGAGAACTCCTCGCGGATCATTGAAGACTCACGATTCAGCAACCCGCCCACTCGACCTGGCCACCTGGGCCCGCCTCCCCGACCCGCCCTTTGAGGTCTACCCGTTTGATCTGCCCGTCTGGTTCTGCGACGTGCTTTCTGCTCCGAACCCTCCTCATGCTAAACTCTCTCGTGCTCAATCCTTCTCGCTCCCCTTGCTCCTTCCTTCCATCCGTCCTCTCTTTTCCTGTTTTAGGGGCTGCGCCAAATACGCGTCGCAGGTAAGGAAGATAAAACGATCTCCAAGGGGGTACGATCGAGGACGAAGTGGGCGGGTATCGAGTTTTGGGATGGATGCACGGGTTAAGTCGCACGCGAGCAAATAAGAGCGAACGGTCACAATGAGTGGTGTTGTTGTCGTTGTCGTCGTTGTTGTTGAATCCTCACTTCTAAAGAATAATTGTGGTTGATCCCCCTCCCCGGTAATCGTTGCATGTTTCCATGAACCTGCTTCTCCCGGGGACCGCACTCTGGTTTTTTTTCTCAAAAGAGAAAGCGAAGTGTCACCAAACTGCGCCCTGCCCCCAGGTCTACAACAACAGCGGCTCCCGTCTTACCCTTCCTCAATGTGTTCCCAAATCGCGATCTCGCGGGAGACTTCCTGACGATGTATGCAGGAGTCGAGCTCTCGCGTGGGACTTCCTCGCCATGTATTCAGACGCCGCGCCCTCGACACTCAGGAATCACGCTCTCGCTGTGGATTTCCTCACGATGTATTTGGGAACCGCGCTGTCGCTCGAGACTTCCTCGCGATTCACGCAGGGCGCACGCTTCAGCAACCCGCCTGCTCGACCTGGCCGCCTGGGCCCGCCCTCCCGACCCGCCCGCTGAGGTCTACCCGCTTCCTCTGCCCGTCTGGTTCTGCCACGTGATCTCTGTTCCTAGCCCCCCTCGTGCTCCATCCTCCCTCCCTCCCTCCCCCTCGTGCTCCGCTCCGCGTGCTACTCCCTCCCCCCTCCCCCTCCCTCCCCCTCCCTCCCCCCTCCCTCCCTCCCTCCCTCCCTCCCTCCCCCTCGTGCTACTCTCTTTCGTGCCTCCCTCCTCCCTCCCTCCCCCTCGCTCGCTCCGCTCCGCGGGGAACGGGCGGCGCGGGGGAAGCTCGCGACCTCGTCCGCCCCGGGGGACCGTGACGTGGACCGCGCGTGGCGACGAAGCGTGGAGGGCCAGAGCCAGGCGGCGCGACGCGGCCAGAGCCAACGCGCGACGCGCCGTTGGCCCCCCCAGCCCGCGACACGCGCGGGACACGCGAGCGCGCGCTGGCAGGAAGTCGGTCTGCGGCGCCTGTCGCAGCGGCGTGCTCGGGCGCCTCGCCCGAGACACCGTCGAGCACTGGAAGCCGCTCCTGCGAAGCACTGCGCTCTCGCCGCAGGCATCCTCACGCGGTGGGAGGGCAGGACAACGATTCGGGACTGAGATCTTTTCCGGGGGAAGGCCCTGGCTTCGAAGAGCCCTTCCTGGTGGCAGAAGAATGACTTGCTGCGCGGGCCACGACAAGCGACACGAGCCGTGGTTCCCGAAGCGGCGGCGTGGTATCAGAATGGTTTCCGGGTTGGCTGGCTACGAAGGCCCCGCTAGAGC